GCTTGCTAATCAGTCACTTTAATCATTATGTATTGAATCCTAAGCGTTGCGGTACTTTACGCTGTCGAGTTGGATAGCGTGGTTGAGGTTGAGGTTGCGCTGTCACTGCTACGTGTGTATCCGCATCAATGTCATTTTAGCTACCTTTAGTTTCATTTGCTTTCAGCGTGGTATTTCCGCGGTTTCCGTTTGCGGAGGCGTTACCGGTTTGACGTCAACAATATCGCTTGAAAGTGTTACAATAATTTCTGGTTTCCTGCCTTGGTTGCTTACATGCTTTTGATGCATCTGGTCAACATGGCGTTTCCAGAGTTGTTCTCCGACCATACCTGAATTTGCATTTGCTAACTTTTGACCTCAAGCCAGCGCTTTCCACCCTAGCTTAAACTTCATTAAGATGAATGAAGTGTTCTTGGTCATTTTTCTACGATATCAAAATATCGTCTTCTCTACGAACGACCATCGGTATACCTTGGAGTACTTGCTCAAATTTTGATTGAAAGAAAGCTAAAGTGGAGGATACCCCAAAAGGCAAACGAGAGGGTCTATATAGACCCTTGTGAGTATTTATGGTAACAAACTCCCTTGAATCCTCATCTAAAAGAATTTGTTGGTAAGCCCTAGGTAAATCTAGCTTACTGAATGTCTATCCCCCACCGAAAGGGACACTGTCACGGGTTGACATGCGCGGTAGCATACACTCTCTCCGAGACTTGTCACGCTCGACGGCCATTATGGAAATATCAGTGAGTTCAAGAATTCTGTATATATTTTGCATTTAAATCAAGTTTATCCAAAGCAAATGCTCATGAAAGTGAATTTCTTTTACTGAGGAACCTTCCGTGATCTTTTGTAAATGTAAAAGTGCTTGTACGACGAAGCGCAAAGAAAATAGTTCTCGTGGGTGCCCGTGCAAAGGGAGAAACGTGCTGTGTACAGATGAATGTAAATGTGGAACAAGCAATAAACCTTGCAGAAACAGGGTATGCATATAAAGTTGAATACACGCATATTAAGTTGTATATATTCACTTCTTTTGTGGATCGAATGTCCAAAATGCATACGAAATAATTTGTGTATTTCCTTTCTTCAGGATTCGAACGAGCAGTCGTCATCTGCCTATATTTACGAAAGCCGTAGAGTTCGCCTGAGGCTTACCTGTATTCTAATTATAATGTGTAGTAGAATAAACATCTGCCTCGCAAATGCTACATATGTGTGTGATATCTAGCATTATTTATTTTCCTATCAGTAAAATCGCTGTCCGCGCTGAACGACTCACAACTTGCATCAAATTTTTCCTGCAGCCACAACTTAAATGTCTTTTCTTCCACATAAATACGCTGATGGTTCCTCAGCCACGCTTTCTTGTATTCCCCTCTGTCTTCAACCTTTCGTTTTTGCCCTGAGTTAGTGCGTTTACCGCCATGTCCGGATCCTCCGCTAGACGTCAGGATGACTTTTTCAAGTTTCAATCGGCTACACGAGCATGCGCAGACCGTGACCGTGTCCCTTTAATTCCACAAATAACCCTTCGGGGTTTGGCAATTGGGGTTGGTCAACCTCCAAAACGGAATTGACGGCGACTTTGTAATCCCCACAAACTCTAATTGAATTATCTGGTTTAACGACAGGAACTATCAGAGCCGCCCGCTCTGAGTAGCGCACCTTTCCGATTACTCCCATGTTTTCTAAGCGATCCAATTCTTGATCAGTGGCACCTTTTAAAGCATACAGAACTTGGCGCGGTTTGAAAAACTTCGTTTTTGATTCGGTCTTGACGAATACTTTAGCCTTAACGTCTAGCATAGTACCTAACTCATCCTTGAAGATTAATGTCCAGATAAAACGTTGTCTAACTCAAAACTTATCTTCCTAATGGATCCCCAGTTTACTTGCTGTTCTTTAACCAGTTCCTTTTCTAAGAGGCATCGTCCGTTCCCTTTGGGAATTTGAACAGTAACATGGCGGTCTCCTCTTGATAAAAAAATTCAACCAGTGCTTGACCAATGATTTCGAAATGATTAACCACGGATATTTTATCACCGGCAAGAGAGGATGCAGTGGGGAGAAACGTTCCTTTATTTTGTTTTTTTGTCTTTGTTTGTTTGTTTTGTTTTTTCAAGCTCTTACATTCAGTTTAACTTAGTATAGTATGTGAAATGCACTGATAGTTTAGAAGTGATAAAATTGTAAATTGAATTATTAATTACAACAAGAAAACAAAAATGACAAGAGCCCTACGTGCCTCCATCCCAATTCCTTGCTACCCATACAAGAGAATTATCTCTAGTGCCTCCAAGACTTTATGCTTATTCTATTTTTTTTAGGATCTCATGTCCGCGGGTTGTGTCAAACATGAACCCATGGTTAGAGAGTTCGACATAGCAATTAAGAAAGCCATGCCAGACAAACCGAATTCCGAGGTCAGAGTAATGGACATGGGAGCCGGCACTGGACTTCTGGGAGTAGAGCTGAAAAAAAAGGGCTACACTAACGT